TGCTAATTACACATCCTCCGAAAATGTATTCCCGAACTCAGGTTAACACAAACATTGATGACTGGAAGACCATCAAGTGGAAGGATGTCAATGTTGAGCAGATGGATATCGATTGTAAGAAATTTGCTAAAGACATTGGGAGCTTGGATAAGGAGATGAGAAGCTGGGATGCATTCACAGGGCTGGACAACAGCGTGAAGAACATGATAACGTCCCTGCACACCATGAACGAGCTGCAGAACCCGGCCATCAGGGACCGGCACTGGCAGAAGCTCATGCAGGCAACCAAGGTGCTCCCAGCCCTCCTGCCCTTCCCCAGCTCCAGCTCCCAGCCAGGGAGACTGCTGAGATTGGCATCCATGGGGGGAACCATGCAACCTATTTGAAACGCTGCCAGACGCAAATACTTCTGTAGGGTCTTTAAACGTGGGTGTTAATGAGCTCGTTTGGGTGAGCTGCTGGGCTGCCTCTTCGTGGAGGGGAGTCCATGCCCTGACGGTGCCAGTTCTGCTCCAGGTGAACTTCACCCTGTCCGAGGACACAACCCTCGCAGATCTGCTGCAGCTGAACCTGCACAAGTTCAAGGATGAGGTTCATGGCATCGTGGACAAAGCCCTGAAAGAATCAGGGATGGAGAAGGTAAATGGGGCTCATTTCCCATCCTGCTTTGCTGAGAGCCCTGCTCCAGCATGGCTCTGTGGCTGTTAGCACTCGTGTTCCTGTTCCTGGGGGCTGGAGTGCCCCGCCACACAGCACCCGAGGAGCTCGTGCCCTGGAGGAGGCGTTCCTGTTGCTGCCTTGCCTTTCCGCAGGGTCTGGGACTCGGCACCACAGGGCCCAGCTCGTTTCTCACCCCCTGCCTGCAGGTACTGAATGCCCTGGATGCTACATGGGCAACAACGCAATTTGAACACGAGCGCCATGCCAGGACCGGCATCATGCTGCTCAAGTTGGATGAGGAGCTCATCGAGACACTGGAGGACAACCAAGTACAGCTGCAGAACCTGATGACCTCGAAGTACACAGCCTTCTTCCTCCAGGAGGTGTCAGGCTGGCAGCAGAAGCTGTTGACCACTGACTCCGTTATCAGCATCTGGTTTGAGGTGCAGAGGACATGGAGTCACCTGGAATGCATTTTCATGGACTCCAAAGACATCTGCAGTCAACTGCCGGAGGACTCGAAGCATTTTGATGCTCTTGATCAAGATTTCAAAGTGCGAAGCCTGTCCTCCCCTGGGCCCCCGAGAGCTCCCCGCCCGTTCGGGTAGAGCTGGAGCATTTTTCCTCTTGCAGGAATTAATGGCCGATGCGGTAAAAACTCCCAATGTGATTGAAGCTACAAACAAGCCTGGTCTCTACAAAAAGCTGGAAGCGCTGCAGAAAAGGTGAGGTCTGAGTTGTCCTGGTGAAGTGTCACGGAGAGCTTCCACTGGCCTGTCTAGGGCCAAAGGAAGAGTGTGATTTCTCCAAAGTGGCGTCTGTCTCAACAGGACAAGGACTTAGCAGAGAGTGAAAACTAATATGGGGGTTTTAATGAAGGTTTTTCCTTGTCTTCTGTTAGATTGGCACTCTGTGAGAAGGCTTTGGCTGAATACCTCGAGACCAAAAGACTGGCTTTTCCCAGATTCTACTTTGTTTCCTCTGCAGACCTGCTTGATATTTTATCTAACGGGAATGAGCCAGCTCAGGTATGGGTTGCGTGTAATGCATGGAGGCAAGTCCTGTGCCTCTTGCATGCTAACTTTTTATAGCAGTTTTAAAGCATTTTTCATCCTAGTGGACAGAACACCATCCCTGGTACCCCCCTGCTCAGGGATGCGATGCCCCGAGAGCTGTGCGGGCATTAACCCGAGCGGGGATCACACCTCTGCGCAGGACGGCGGTCCCTGACCCCACCGTGCCTCTGTTCTCAGGTGTCCCGTCACCTGCCGAAGCTGTTCGACAATCTGGCTGAGCTGAAGTTCAGGATGAGTCCGGACAAAAAGCCCTTGAACATTGGCCTGGGGATGGTCAGTCGGGATGAGGAGTATGTGCCCTTCGACGCAGACTGTGACTTGTCTGGCCAGGTCAGCCGAGCTCCGTCGAGCCTCCGCTTGCAGGGACGGGGTTCGGGACGGGGACGAGCCTTTTGCTCGTTGCACCCTAAAGCCTGGCAGCAGTTCGAGTGAAGCCTTTGTGAAGCCTTTCGGCCAAAGAAAAAAAAAACCCTCTAGAAACGGGCTCTGCCTTACAGGGGTAGAACAGCGCTGCGGCCGCATCAGTCACACAAACCCCCTCGGGCGGCCGCAGGGCGTTTCTCCCCTCTCTGCTCTTCCCCCTCAGCCCAGGCTCCGCAAACGGCCGTGGGACGGGCCCTGCGGGGCCGCGTACTGGGGTCTTTCACTCAGCTTGTCGGGAACACGGGAGGGTGAGGCCGGCTGCACCGGGCGTAGGGAGCCACCCGCACGCTGCCGGAGTGGGCACAGGCTGGGAACCACTCGCTCAGGCTTTGCTGGATGTGACCCTCTAGGTGGAGGTCTGGCTGAACCGGGTGCTGGGGAGCATGCGCTCCACCCTGCGGCACTTGATCCCCGAGGCCCTGGTGACCTACGAGGAGAAGCCGCGGGAGCAGTGGGTGTTCGACTACCCGGCACAGGTGGGAGCTGCCGTGCGGGCTGGTGGCTCCACGAGCCGAGGTGCAGGAGGAGGAGCAAGCGGAGAGCCCGGGGAGGTGCAGGCACCTGCCCTGAGCCTTCGCAGGGATGGCATCTTCCCCTTTATGGCTGCGTGTTGTCCCTGTGCAGGTGGCTCTGACGTGCAGCCAGATCTGGTGGAGCACCGAAGTGGGTATGGCCTTCTCAAGGCTGGAGAAAGGCTGTGAGAACACCATGAGGGATTACAACAAAAAGCAGGTTGGCCAATCCCTCAGACCTGACCTGGGGTTGTCCTGCAGCCCCTCTCTGCTCCAAAGAGGCGAGGTCCGGTCCGGGGGCTCACTGGGAAATGGGCAAATGATGACATCATTTTCCTGTTCATCATTTCTTTCCTTAGATTGCTCAGCTAAATGCGCTGATTTCACTGCTCATTGGAAACCTGACTGCCGGGGACAGGATGAAGATCATGACAATCTGCACCATCGATGTCCACGCCAGGGATGTGGTGGCCAAAATGATCCTGGAGAAGGTATTTGTTACAAAAGGATATCTTTACCGCTTTGTGTCTTGGCGCTTCTGGGCACAGATTTCCTGCTATTTTATTGCTTTCCAATATTTCAAAGTATCCCAATTGGAGGAAGCCACATGTGGGGTGTCAGGGGCGCATGGGACCCGGGGAGGTGACAGCATGGTCGGGGCCAAGTGAGACCGGGCTGGGTCTCATGCAAAGCCAGATCGAGGAGCAGTTTTGCTGGTTCCTGCCACGCTCGGTGGGAGCCGCAAGCCTTGGCACAGGGCTGTGCACCACGGTTGGCAGGCACGGGGTGGGCTGGGCCACGGGGAGGGACAGTCCTCACCCCCCCCCAGCATTGTGCTTGGACCTGTTTGCACACTGTCCTCGCGTGTGGAGGTGACGAATGGCCCTGACACCCCACTGTCCGGCGTGGGCAGGAGCTCGCTGTGCCAGCGGAGCGGGATGGGCGGCATCGGTGCCTGCCTGCCCTCTGCAACCAGCTGCTCCGCAGGTGGAGAGCGCCCAGGCGTTCACCTGGCAGTCCCAGCTCCGGCACCGCTGGGACGAGGGGAGGAGGCACTGCTACGCCAACATCTGCGACGCTCAGCTCCAGTACTCCTACGAGTACCTGGGGAACACCCCCCGGCTGGTCGTCACCCCCCTGACGGATCGGTAGG